TTTTTTTTTCTCTTGATTCTTTTCCGATTGAGATGTATAGTATAGATCTTGTTCAAAACGAGGTTGTGAGTAACTAATAAAAAGTGTCATGTTACTAGACGAAATGCCGATTTTGTTGGTATTTGAAACTATTTTGTAACACTGATGCTAACAGTTGACAATTGAATCAAATTACTTTTATTATTATTAGATTTGTATTAGTCAATGATTTCACTTTAGTGTCATTTCTACAGTCCAAGTCTATTTTAATGAATTTTATTTTATTTTTTCATATAAGGTTATTGGCTAGGCAACTTGAGGCACATGTAGTGTTGGCAACGAGTCGAGCTGAGCTAGCTGGGGGCTCGGTGTCGACTCGTCAAAAAAAGGCTCGAGCTTTTTGTGCTTTGAGTCGAGTCCAAGCTTGGCTCGTCCCCAAAAATTGGGCTTGACCCGGGCTTTGACTTGAACCTTTGTCGTGTTGAGTCCGGTCAAGTTGAGCCGACTCACAAATTTTTCGATTTTTTATTATTATTTTTTCCTCCTCGAATATACAAAAAATTGATCATTAATTTACAAACCACAATATTAATTTTAAAATTACAAAATTAATTATGCAAGGGGTTGAATTTTACTTACTTAGTGGCCATTAATTTACAAATTAAAAAAAAATTATGCAAGGAAGGCTACATGAGCCCCCACATACGGGTCAGCACGTATTCGGGCTCGTGTGGTTCGCGGACGGGAAAGGGGCATAGGGTCGCAATCCCCACATTTCTAAGCCTTTTCTCTCCATCCCTTTCGACTATCTCCCTCATCTCTTTGACAAAAAAATTGATCGTACTAATTCTTCAAATTTTGTCTATAATTTTTTCACAAATTATCACATCTACTATAAATCTTCACTTCCCAATCAAATTTTCAACTAACTAAAACCTAAATTTGTATTTTTTTGGCTATCAATTTGCTCCAACATTCTTGCAAAGTGATTGTCATTACACCGTCCCCGACCTTGTCTGCCACTATAATTTCGACGCCACCTCCACTTTGCAAACCTCCAGACACAATCAATTTAAGTTATTTTGTCTTTAAAAATTGAAAGGTAACCAAAAGGCCGACGACAGTAACTCATAATTTCATTTTCCTTTTTTTTTTTTTACCAAATTCAATGTGATAGAGAAAATGTGTTCGTATCACATTTATAGTTTGTTTTCGTTCCGTCTGATTTGTGTTGAGGAATTATTTTTAAATTTTGTATATTGAATTGTGCCAAACTGATTTGGAATGTGTTTGGAATGATTTATGTTGTATTGAATGATTTTTTAATTGTGTATATAGAATGGATATGAAATACTCTATCTAATTTGACTTATATTTATTGAATTGTGTTTTATTTGAACTGATTATTAGTATTAAATATTAATTGTATGTTCTCATTTCAATTACTTGAAATGATTGTTCTAATTGATTGTTCGTATCAATCATGGATAAATTCTTTAAACGTAAATATACTTTTTTGTTTGTTTTAATTGATCGTTTGTAACAATTATGGAACGTTACCAATAAAAATGCATAAAGAATAATTGTAATAAGATATCTAATAATTTTATGTTTTTCACAACTTTGATTGTACTCCTAACTCAAAAT